TTTAGGCAGGGCTACAACGTTTTTTAAGCTCAACGGAAAGTAAAGTTTCTGATCGCTAACTTTGTCTGTGGTCTGAGCAGATATACAATTACTTAAATGTGACGCTTTTTAGATCGATATTCTAGATGAAGTTTTCTACAATGAGCCACAAGCGTCATAGATCACTACTGTATCATCAGGACAGATAGAAGAGGCATCAATAGTTAGAGAAATCTTTTTAGTAAGTGGGTCACTCCATGCTAACCTTGATCCGGGGCCAAAAACACAGATTTCAAACAAAATGTGACTGGATTCAGGCTGCTCTGACCTTTACAATGAGGTATGACATCATGCCCATATTGACTCACATTTGACAAGGCTGGAGTTGGGAAAGTACTTCTCATTAGTTATTTTCTCACCAGTTTAAGTGGAATTTTGTGCCACAATCAGAAATAAAAGATGAGTTACTATCACAAAGACAACAACTGGATTCATTGTGCAGTATACAGTAGAAGGATCTTTGTTTACACCTGTGTGCGCATGCGCCCCTCGCTGTGTGGCAGGAACACGGAGCAGCGCATACAGAAGCATGGATACGAAAGTACTTTAAAAAGACTCAGTGGGCGAATAGCACTGTATAAAAGCACTTTAAGGCAAGAAGATCAGAGGAGATATAAAGACAAGCTAAAAATAAGTATATGAGACCGAACTGAACAAATCCAAAGCCCAGATGAGACCTGGGATGACGGGTAAAAACATTGCTCAGACTCACCTCTCTTTGGGCACGGATCTGCTGGGACTGGGACTCGGAGACATTTATGCTTACTTCATAGAAAACCCACAACCCTTCACTCAAGAAGGATCCTTGGTGTAAATCCATTTCTCTTGTTTTTCACCGCGGTAAAGTGGCCCGGCATTTCGCCACACATTAAAAGGGGGCTGCCCCTTTTTGCAGTTACTTACGGTAAAGGTGACCACACAACAGGAACGGACCATTTGATTTAGTAAAACCTCTCTCCAAACGTCTAAAACTAGCTAACTCTCTAGCATCCAGGTAGCTTTCAATGCTGTAGCGCCACCCGGTCACGTGACCGGCACGGAAAAACTATAAACAACGACGTCACTCCAAGATCCTCCTATAGCGTCCCATTGGTAGAGCTGAAGTTGGCTGAATGACACAGTAAACAAGAAGCTCAAGAGGAAAATTTAGATTGAAAGACTGGGAGACCGGTTTTCAGTGTTCACCATCTCACCTGCTTCACCAATCCTTCCTTTGCTGCACTGCACCTGAGCTCATCAAGCAACCACCCTCAGCTACACAGTTAGCATTCCAACATAGCCTCTCAGTTCTGGACTAAATTCCCTCCTGCACACGTCAGACAATATATCTTCTGGAGTCAAAATGCCAAGTATTATTGATCATTATTGTTTCAAATATAATAGTACCACTTCATGCGACTGTCGGCTTTAACTGCCTGTTCATACAGCTCCAATTCATTAACGGCCAAAAACATAATTCTAATGCATCTTTGTGTCGAGTCTTTCCTGATTTTATTGTGTTTGTGATCATAAACAATGCCTACTTTGCGTTAACTAGGCACAGGGCCACAGAACACGACACAGAGGGCCAGTATTCGCTCGGGGGCCAGACATTGCACACGCTGGCTTAAGAGTAACACCCCTCCCTTTTCTCTTCAGAATGGAAAAAACAGTCCTTACATGGATTGGAACTACTATCAAGGTCAAGAAACTGCACGTCTATCTTTGTGTAAAAGTCAACCAACAGTTTTGAAGTCCTAAAGTCGTTTTGCTAAATCAGGATAGAGCGATATGTGATTTTAAGCCAGACTTTCTCCAGCATCCCTACTCTATCTTCTTCCACATTAAATGCATGTTCTATGGAAAGTATGCAGTGTGTTGCTAGGCACAGCGGAGGCTACGGGAAATGGCTGTGGTCAAACCCAAGTCCTTGAACGAGAGACAGGGAGGAAAAGGAGAAGACAGGGAGTAAAATAGAGCAGTCAAGCACAGACTGTATGTGCAACTGTGCAAGTATAGACTGTTTCTCAATGTACTGTATGTTTCAGTCTGCTGGCGAACAAGCTTCTCTTTAATGAACTAGAAGATCTCATCAGATGTTTACATGCAGTTTTAATCTTTTTTCAATGCAGCAATGAATCTGGGTTAGTCCAAAACAAGTTAGTTTAGTCACAGAAGTAAATGACTCAATTCTGATAAAGAGATATGACACACACCAACTTTCTTGTCACCAACAAAAATGCTTTTTTCTGCGAACATGATAAACGATCACACCAATGGTTCATTACTATATATTTAGTACATTTGAAAGATGAGTTAAAGAAAAGGATAAGATAGGAAAAAAGTTGTTTTTGCTTGTCATGTTCCCTTTACAGCTGGTTTACTTGACTAAGAAATGAAAAAATCACCATAAAAGAACGATAGATTATAAATCATAATCTAAAACTTGTTCCTCCCTCTCAAAACAGTTCTATCACTGGGTTTCACATACGTATACAGTATTGCCCTGTTTCCACCAGCCCTACTTTGCTCTACTCTACTCGGCTCTACTCTCCTACTCTTTTCCACCAGGACTGTTTAACCGGTACCAGGACGTTTTAGTACATTTAGTACCAGCTTGGCCCTGATTCTATCCAGACCAAGCTGTTACTAAAGTGCTCTAACTGATCGTGATTGGCCAGTGCTGCTGGAAGCCATGGTTACCAAAGATATTCACTGGATTCTGGTTTGTTGTGGGTAGGTTGTCCTGATACGGTAACAGATACTAAACTGTAATGGAAATGCAACCAGGTACAGTAGAGTAGGACCAGATAGAATGGGCCTGTTATGGGCTAGTGGAAATGAGGCTTATCTCTGGCCTCTTTTACATCTTCTAGATCAGCATTTTCTGGCAGAAAAGTGAAACAGAGAGGACCACCCTCAATCAGCCAATCAGATCTCAGCTCCAAGCGTCAAAAAGTGGCTTCTATTTCTTACAAGCAAAAGGTAACACATTTTCTAAGACGATGAAGACAGTACTATGTTGTGCTCTTACAAAACTTCTTCCGTAGAGACAAAAACCACATTTTGAACATATTTCATATAGCTCAAATCTCCAGACACTGATACTGGAAAAGAACTTGCCAAAAATGTGTATTTCATGTGTATAATTTGATTTGAACTGTGTGTCCTTTGATTTTTTTTTCTTAACAACCATGACAAACTAGCTCAGTATTTCTTCCAGCCTCACGGTTTAGCTTCAGCTTTAGATTCAGTGTAAAGCTAAAATGGTGGTGGGAATGTGCCACTGCATGATAATTCTTCTTCACGCTTGCATTGAGGAACACAGAGCCTCTAATTGATGCTAAATAAACTGCTGACCCAGACTCGGGATGAAGGTCTGTCACCGATGCACACAGGCACAAACTATAAAACGCACCATTTACCAGAGTGGCGCACACAGAGAGAGAGAAATGTACAACTGTGGGACGTTGGAGAGTGCTTCGGCCACCGCCAGAGCTCGGCACTTATCACAACAGTACACGACTGCTGCCTCCTACTGTAAATGTGAAGGCAGGCGGTCTGGTTTTAGGTCTGCAGAAAGCCACAAGCCACCGAGCAAGACTGGACGACATTACTCAAAGTAGAAAGAAGATGGAAACTTTTACTTTCCCAGAGCAGTCAAAAAGACGTCAAGTAGTAATATATTTTTGCGCAAGTTTTTGTTGTGTGTGTGTGTGTTCTCTGCTTATATGCACCAGTTGAGGTTTCCTTGAAATGTAAAGTGCAATATAAATTAAATATATTATTATTTATAGATTGTTTTAGCGTATGAACAAAATGCAAAAACAATAACCAGAATACATACTATATTAACCACACAGTTTGAAAAGGGGCGGGACAAGCTTGGTTTGGTTCCAATCCTTCTAAACCAGGCATGTCAAAGTCAGGCCCGTGGGAAAAATCCGGCCCGCAGGACCATTTTTAGTGGCCCCTAAAATGATTTACAATGATGATTATTTCAGTCACTTGCAGTGTTGATGGTAATGGGCTACTATGGCATCATTCTAAAGCACATTTTATCAAGAAAAAAAAACAATTAGTATTAGAACTTAAGTTAGGCCAAACATTTATCATGTTACATATAATTATCAGTCTTCAAATACATCTTGATATTTGTGATTAAATTCAAGCCTATACCAGAAAATAATATCCAAACTCATGTCAAACACAGTTAATTTGTCAAAAGGCAAAAACATGTAAAATGTAAACCACTTTTAATAATAATAATGCATTTGTTTCATATAGCGCTTTTTTGGACACTCAAAGACACTTAACATGTCATTATTCATTCACTTCATATAGGGTGGTGATAAACTACTAGTGTAGCCACAGCCGCCCTGGGGCACACTGACTTTTATACATCTGGCCCCCGACCAAAACAATTTGACACCTCTGCTTTAAACTCATACAACATAACACAACATCACACAGTCAAGCACACAAACAGGCCCAAACAGTCTCTGACCCTACACCTCTCCCCATCACACAGAGCACAAATCCACTGGGAATGGACTTTTATTTATAACATGTTTTACTTCCAAATTCAAATGTACAAAATGAATAATAATGAGCCATGATTGTATTAGATTCTCCAAAACGTCAGCTCAGAATGCAGACGAACAGGCGATTGTACAACATTACTTTTTTTTCATGCAAAGTCATCTCCAGTACAAGATCATGTGAATGGAAACGTCCTTGTAACCTATACGGGAAGCAGATCCCTGGACCATGTTATAAGGCGTGGGCAATGGAGGTAAAGTCCTCGTCATTGTCACACAAACAAACACTTGCCTCTAAACACGGGGGCTCCTGGGAGACGCAGCGACGCCTTTGTCCCTGTCCCCTTCAAGCTCAGGGAGAGTTATTACGAAGGACAAGTGGCTGCGTGTAGTGAGCACAACCTACAGAACAAATCACTTCTTTCTTTGCACACATTTCCCATGTTTGGGTCATTCCTCCAGCCTCAAGTCTTCTCCGGTAGGTGCCACTTCTTTTGGGTCATAGATTACGCTACTATGCTGTACAACCGGACTCAAAGCAGTTTTTCCCACAAACTGGTCAGACCTCTGACCAGTCGGCACGGTGGCTGAGTGGATAGCACTCTCGCCTCTCAGCAAGAAGGTCCTGGGTTCGAATCCCGGTCGGACCGGGGCCTTTCTGAGTGGAGTTTGCATGTTCTCCCCGTGTCTGCGTAGGTTTCCTCCGGGTACTCCGGTTTCCCCTACCACTAAAAATATGTCCAATAGTTCTGGCATGTGCCTCCTGTACTGGCCCCGCTCCCATCTCTGTGTGGAGTGAGAGACAAATACCCAAAACAAACAATTGTAAACCGCTTTGAGACTCAGATCTGCAGTGAAAAGGCGGTATATAAATAAAGATTACTTACTTACTTACTTACCTCTCTTGTCTCAGTATACATGCAGATTCAGACCTCTCCTGTCTCAGTATACATGCAGACTCAGACCTTTCTTGTCTCAGTATACATGCAGACTCAGACCTCTCTTGTCTCAGTATACATGCCGGTTCAGACCTCTCTTGTCTCAGTATACATGCAGACCTCTCTTGTCTCAGTATACATGCAGACCTCTCTTGTCTCAGTATACATGCCGGTTCAGACCTCTCTTGTCTCAGTATACATGCAAGCTCAGACCTCTCTTGTCTCAGTATACATGCAGACCTCTCTTGTCTCAGTATACATGCAAGCTCAGACCTTTCTTGTCTCAGTATACGTACTAAAAAGCACCAAAGTACAAAAATATCTGAGTTTTGCATGCCTTTCTTCTGTGATTCTAGTTCCTTCATCGCAGTAGCAAGCGTTTCCGCCAACACAAGAGGCAGACCACCTGCTTTACAAGTGGTCCCCCTGCTCACATGATCAATCACTGAACCAGAATTTACATAAGTTTTTCTCAATTGATTTAAATCGCACAAGGCCAGTCCATTGATTGTCTCACCTCTAATGTAAAACACAGTAATAGACAGATAAATTCCCTCAAAACTATAAAATCGCCATAGATTTTTTAATACTTAGATCTATAAATGTAACTCAAGAAAGCATATGGTTATACGACAATATGAAGCTGTTCTAAAATGCTTTCCCCTCTATCTCTCTCTCTCTCTCTTTCTCTCTCTCTCTGTACCATGCTCCATTGGGACAGGAGCTCTTTGAAGGTGATCCAGGACTGTGCTGCCACCCCGCTCTCCTCCCACCCCCCAGTGAGCGAGTCCCCTCCACCCTCACACCCTCAGGGGCCTGGATCTTGCTCCAAATCCAAGGCCGGGCTCATCACAGCTCCTGCCGCGGGGCCTCCCTCGATGTCCCACTGACTCTGTGTGAGAGAGGTAGGTCCTGGGATGGAGTCCAAATACAGTGTCCCTCCTTCCTTCCTGCTTTCTCCATCTCAAGGGCAGAGTCTTTAGAATCTTCACTGTCTGATTGGTTTGTTTGGACACGACATTGCACAATGGGATGACAGATTCTTTGTTTAGGGTTCTCCCCAAGGTTTCTCACTTTTTCCCACTGGGTTTTTTAAGAGTTTTTCCTTGTCGATGCAGGAGGGTCTTGTTGGACAGTTAGTGTCCAACAGAAAGGATTGGTGATGATCAGGACACTTTAGCATTCTACAACATGTATGGACATTTTCTTCTGTGTGTGCTTTATATTTTTCATATGTTTTAACTGTTGATTCTCTGACCTGTGTTGGTGATTTCAATGGTTTTGTTAAGTCCTCTGAGATGACTTCTGTTGTGACCTAGGGCTATACAAGAATAAATTTCATTGTATTGTATTGTATTTGGTTAAAGTTTGCTTTCAATTCAATTCACTTCAAATTATTCTAGTCCTAAATCACAACAGCAGTCATCACGGAGGACTTTACAAAACTTCAGAACTCACCAGCACATATCAGAAAATCAACCAATCAAACGCAAGAAATGCAAAGACATTGGTCAATAAGTCTGTAAATGTTGATAAATGTCCATTAAAAGTAGTTGAATTTCAAGTGTCCTGGATCATCACCGCTGCCCTTTGATCCTCCTGCATCGGCAAGGAAAATATCTAACACAAAAATGCACCACAAACATCTTGAAGAACACTAAACTATAAACACTGTAAAATAATTGTGCATGTTAGCGCATTTGTGGGATTAGTTACTATGTATTCCCTTTATTATCCTCAAACCATATGGAAAGGCAGGCTTATTGGGTGTGCCGGGATACATGGGGCTAAAGCAAAGCAGAGCCAGCGATTAGACTTAAATTATGGCTGTTATCACCACACATGTCACAGCGGGAGGCAGAGGCCATGTTTGCATAAACAGATTTACCCTCTTTATATTCTTTTTTTTTTCAATAACACATCAGGATCATGTTAAGGTGACATTATGTTAACCGGGGACGTACATGATTGGGAATGTAGTCATTAAGTTCAATATGTTTCATTTTAAATCAAGGAACAATGCAGCTTGTTTGCCACATAGCTGCGGTTTTCCACTGTTGTGTTTCCACAGTAAAACTAAACTCTACTATAAAACACCAACAGCCGCAGTAAAACTGTTGAGATGTTCAGGAAATTTGTCTTGTTTAATTACAGCATTACATCTTTGCAACACGTTCATTTCAGAACAATTTGACAGAAAAGTGTGAGTGATTGTGTGGAGCTTAAACTGAACCGATATGTTTCTATGTTTTTGTGAGCTTTAGAGCTGCACAATATTTGAAAAAGTGGGATTTTGAATAGTGGTGTGAACAGATATATATTTCAATCATGTATTAATTATTTTCATGAAACGAACCAAAAGTGTTTTCTAAATGTTTTGAACTTTACTTGCAGCAGGTCACAGCAGGAGAAAACAAGTCCGTATGCGAAAGACATGTGTTAATGTGGCTCTATAATAAGTCAAAGATTTGGGAGTTCTGTGTTTTGAGTTTTCCTTAAACAATCTATGTCTGTGTTTTCTCCTCTCTACTTCTGCTTCTATCGTCTCTCCTGAAGCCAAAGTCCCACGTTCCTGAACTGTGGTGTTTTTAGGAACATGTTTTTCACTGATCTCATTTTCACCTGAATCTATCACGATCTAAGTCCTCTGTTCATGCCTATATTTTAGCCAAATTTACTTTTTACTTGTGATGTAAGGCGACCTTGAGTATCTAGTGAGAAGCCTAAGAAATAAAAAGTATTATTATAATAATAAGTCCAAATGAGTTTATCTAAATGTTGTCCCCGGAGGCTGACACCCAGGTCGAGACGGGACTTGCATCGTTTGAGGGTGTCCCACGACCTGGGGCCTTTAAATGCAGTTTTCACACAGTTTTGAAGACGTTCGAAATCATTTAGTTGTGCACTCGCTCTGGCCAATGACAAATCAGGACTTTTGGGTGTGCGCATTTAGGGTCGCATGATTGGTCAACGTAAAAACAAGCATATGTGAAAGGAACACATGGTTTTAACCCAGTCCTCCCACACGTATCACTTATCTGTTGCAAAAGCAGATAAGAACCATTAGGAAAACATCTGAAAGGATTACAATTTGGCACTGTACCAAGCACAATTTTGAGACGTATTTCAGTGCCATACAAAGTATTTTTCACCCCTTCTTGAGCAAATTCTCCCAAATGCACTGCCAATAGCAAAATATGTTAACGTTTGTAGCTCGAGGGATGCCTGTTTTTTCAAAGGAACTCATATCTTCCTGATATCTTGCAACCTGAGTGAGCGTCCAAATAATAAATATATAGATAGATACAGTAGATACAGTAGCAGCAGAAACACATCCATCCATAAAAAACAACCTAATAATACATATTTCTAAAACATGTGCTACTCTACACTAAAACACACCAGTCTAGACCACTGAGCACTTCTCCCCTCTGCATTAGAAACACTTCCCAATGACTATGTAAAGCCACTACATATTAAGACGCTAAAACTTGCCAACACTTTAAAAGCATAGATAAGAAAAATGAGCAGCATTATGAGAATAAGCATCTCTGTCAGATATTCTAAGATTTCTACAGCCACAGAACATTTTGCAGCGCTCAGGCTTTTTCTTCCTGGATATTCTTCTACTGTACTTTGGTTCTTTAATCACCCTATTCTCTGCAGTTGGAGGCTGGGACCCTCTCCGGAGCAGGGGTCAGGGAGGGGTGTGTCGAGGCGGGACAGGCCAGCTGCTGGAGGTGTGTGCAGAGAAGGAGCAGCTCTATGTTTAGCCTGTGTGTCCCCGGGGATTTGAGACTTAAACTCCATATTCATGACACATCACTGCAGGGATTAGAAGGGCATCATCAGATAGAGCGGCTTACGTCACACACACACACACAGAGACAGACAGACGCGCACATACACACACACACACCCACACAGAAAGAGACACACACACCCACACACCTCTATCCAAGAAAATAACATAGACAGTATGAGTGGCACCCTCCCAAGCCTTCATAAAAGTCATCTAATAACAACTGCAGTAACTGTATTTATGCAGACAGAAATGAACCGATAAGGGTCAAAGAAGAAGATGTCTTTCAATTTGTATTTAGGGCCGTAATTAGCGATTATTTTGATTATCGATTAATTGGCCGATTATTCTTTGGGTTAATCGATAAGTTTGGATCCCGAACGGTCAGTGAATATGGGACTTTTTATCCATTTGACCAAAAACAAAGCTGAAGTGTTGCCCCTGGAGAGCATAGAGATTTGTTACACATGGGGCTGTTTGGTTAAAAATACTTTGTTAATACATTTTCATTTCATTCTGCAGTCATTGTTGAATTGTCTGAGCCATAAAACCTCTTCTCAGCCCCGCTTAAAGGGGCCGTATGTAATGTTTTCATTTCAAATTCTATCTATTATACGTGCCGTCAGATAACAGGTCACATGTATCATTGTTCACCGTTTCTGAACAAAAGTTTAAAGTGGAGTTTTGCTTGATACAATGGACATGCAGATCACAATATTAACATTTTTGTACATGTCATCCAATCAGAGAGCAGAATGCGGCTGTCATATGGTGAGCCAGTTTAGAAATGTAGCAGATAAAATATAGATAGGATAGACCTTTATACATCCCACAGTGGGGAAAATGAAGTAATTGTGTGTTATATGGAGAAATTGAACCATTTCTGGCTATTCTCCAGCAGGTGGATTCCATCAGTAATCCATGCCAATAGGAGCTCCATGTGTTACAGACAAGGCTAAACCAGTTCTGTTAAGCTGTGCATACAACTGAAGGATTGCATTTTCACTCTTTTTAATGTTCTGTGATCATTTATTTTTATGCCCAGTGTGATTTGAATGCGTCTTTTATTCAGCAGTGTATTGTGCATTAACTGTGCTATACAAAAAACATATCTTGCTTAAGGTTCAAACAACGATGAATTCATTATTAAATCAGTTGACAATTTCAAACAACCTACATGCATTACTCATTAAACGTGATCACATGTCAACAGAAAATAGAACTAATGTATTGTTTTGCTCCACAGGGTAAATCATCTGCTGTGTAACTCAGAGCAAAGACTACAGCCGCAGAAGTACAATAAAAAGGATAATAGTTCTCGCTCACATGAGATAAGAGGTCAAAGACATATGGAGAACAGGACGCCATGTGTGTGAGTGTGTGGTGGTTTTATCGGGGCCAGTCCTGGTGGAAGTATGCGGCGTGGGACATCCCGCAGGAGGAGGGGCTGTGATTGTGGCTCATATGTGAGCGCTTATCTGCTGCGGTCCACAGGGGCATCAGGGGAAATGCACTCTTTCCTTCCTGTGCCTTTCACACTGTCACAACACGGCAGCATTAAAAAGTGTCCGGCGTGTGGAGCCAGTGGAAGTGGGACGTGTGGAGACACATCATTGCACAAAGATATACAATCATGTATATTAAAAATAAGCGAGTGTATAATAAAACCAGGGGTGTCCAAACTTTAATTTGAGTAAGGAGGCCACTCCACTGCACCAGACTTGTCCCGGGTCCAACAACCTGGATTGTGTAACTGTTTGTGACTGGATTCTTGCTTGTTTATTTAATACAATCAATTCAAATGTACGCTTGTATAGCCATAAATCACAACAGTATTTATCTTGGAGGACTTTACACAAACAGTGAATTTGCCGACACAGATCCGAGAATCAAAAATTAAACAGAAAACCTGTTGGCATTGGTCCATATGGAGCAGATGACCAATGTCCATGAGTGTTATAAATGTCCATAAATCTTGTTGAATGTAGAGTGTCCTGGATCATCACCTGCACCGTCCTTTTAGTTAGACCTCGCCAGGTTCTAACAGACCCTCCTGCACCGGCAAGGAAAAACTCTAAACCTAGTGCTATCATCAGATCAGAATGACCCGCCACAGTGACTAAAAGTAGACGGAAATTACATTAAATAAGGGTCTAAAAGGGTTTCAATGACCCAAGGCTGGTCAAGTTAGGAAAAATCATCAAACCGGTCATCAACCATCATCAAAAAAGAATATGGACCAACTCGGAAGGCTTCTTCTCTGACAATGTTCAAATGCAAGTTAAAAACTGTTTTTTTTTAGCTGTGCATACAACAGAGGGATTTATCTTCACTCTTCTGAATGTGCTTTGATTTTGATGCCTTTTGTACAAACCGTGTTATACAAATTAACTTTCTATGCCTTCCTTTGCCTTGCTTCTAGTCACAGAACATTGTCTCAGGCTTTCTTTCCACTGTACTTCTTCCTTTAAGAGATTAAGTGATCCTTCATTCGTCCCACAGTGGGGAAATGTCAGTGTTGCATAAGTTATAGAACAGTAGGAAAGAGGAGCACACAGCACAAGATGAAGACAAAAATTAAACAAAATCTTTAACTCTAGCATCAAATAACCCTATAAGTATAAAATATCTATCCTGAAAATAATAATATTAAGTATTGTATAAAGCACCCTAATCACCCTACTCTCTCTGCTATTGATAACAAAAATATAAAGCATATCATGATAATAAGCCAATCTGCTTTGAGTGCAATCCAGGGCAGAGTTGGAGGAGCAGTGTCCCGGGAGCAGAAGGGTACGGGGACAGAGGAGGAGGGGACGGAGGAGATGGGGAGCAGGAAGGACACCTCTGTACCCTACATTCTGCACCTGGCGCAGGCTCGGGAGCTGGCAGCCGGCCAGTCCTCCTACTTCCCCATTTCACCCTGAGCCCATCTCTCTAATGCAGCGACGACACAGGGCTTTCCATTCACTCTGTCATTTACTCACTGATACCATAACAACTACAGTGAGGGCATTTACAAAGCAGCAGCGGAAGCCAAATCCTCCATTGACTCCAATTTAAACCGATTGAGTAGAGTAAAACCAGTCCGTTTGGAGGTTTGCGCGCATCTAATGAAGTCGAGATGCATGTAACGTCAACCGGATCCTCATGAGACAACAGGCTGTGATGTATTTAAGAGCACAGCGGGTATTAGAAATGCATGTATATGGTAGGAAACGGGGGACTCACTTTTTTTCTCCAGGGTCAACACACAACCTTTTCTGTGTAGTTTAATGCATTACACAGAAAAGTAATGCATCACACCTCAGTACTAAAGAAACAAAAAACATTCACATTTATTATTGCGGTGAAATATGGAACAAGATGACGACGACGGTAAAAATCAGGAATGTCATGTGAAAATCTGAATCTGTTGCAGTCGCTTGTACTTTATGTAGTATCGATGATGGTTAAGCTTTTTGTGTTCTCCTTTTGAGCTTTGTTTCTTGAAATGATATGTACCTTTAAAAGTACATTGTAAAATTGCTCAATTAAACTACTTCTACTAACAACTACTACTGTCTCTCGCTGTACGCGTTTTGTTGTTCTGTTTTGTTACAAGAAGAAAAAATGAAACTTAATCAGGGTGCTTTTAAGAGAGTTAGTGGCTGAAAATCAAAAACCAAGAGTAAATATGATGTTGTGTGATTATGTTTGTTTGTAATGTATGGATAATAGAAGTTATAATTACACATACAGTTATATTGTTTTCTTTGTCTTCGTTTTTTGAGTCGTTCCTTGCCGATGCAGGAGGGTCAAACGATAAAGAAGGCCCGGGGACATTTACAGATATGGACCTGTATGAACCTTAATGGACATTGGGCTCCCCGCTCCCTATGACTCCTGCTGTGTTTCATTTTAATGCATTTCCTTGCGTTTCAATAACTTTGTAAGATTTTAGGGCCATACAAAAATACCCTGAATTGAATTTACAAGACGCATTTTAAAGCGCCCAAAGATCTGGAGTCTTCAGAAGCTGAACCTGAGCCTCAGAACTGTTTGATAATCCCATTGAAATGAGTGTAGCGTCTGAAGGTATCTCTTTTTTCTCATGCTTTGTAAATCACAATCATTTCTCAGCCCTGCAGGTAAATGCTCTGGCCTTAGAATAACAGCAGGGCTTATGCTGATATCCTATTGAACTCTAGATTAGACATAAATAACATATGCAGTGGGAGGTTACCACAGCCTTGTTGCAATTCTATTCCTCTAACTTGATTAATGTAATACTTTGACAAGGACTTGGCTTATGATCAGACAAAAGGCCGCTTCTCCTGCCTTCACCGTCTCCCCGTCGCTGCATAGGTTGCCTCTCTCCCTCTGCTGCAGCCTCCGTGGCGCTAAATATTATGATTAATTAATGCTGTACTAAAGTAATTGACCTTTCCTGGTGTGAAATCACATCAAATCTGCTAGTGCAAATGGATCGTTTTGTGGTAATTATGCTAGGGGCAGTACGCTTCAATTTGCGATAGTGTCAACATCCTAATCAAGCATTTATTAAACGTTTATTCAATTATGACTGTGGAGCAGGAAAGGCGGCGTTCACGAGACTGTAAACACTGGCTGGAAGTGCGACAAGACACAAAATGATGCTCATCCAATAAACTTTCAAATCACACTTTTCAACTTCAAATGTGTTTGATTTGTTGGCTGTAAGTGCAAAATATTACAGAAAAGCTGTGGACAAGAATCAAATATGATTATTACTGTTGTAAAATGATGTCTACAATATTGTTGCATTGTAAATATGACCCGAAATAAGAGCCTCGGGTCAAAATGAACCGCCAGAGCCATTAGTAGCAAGTAGAGGAAAAATACCTTAAATAAGGGTCTAAAAGGGTTTAAATGATCCAGGGTGAGTCAAGGTAGGATTTTTTTTTTTATCACTGTGATAGCACTGTGGTTGTAATTATCCTGGTTATATAAACATTTAAAAAAAACAAAAACATTGGGCATATTCTTGTGGTGGTGGTCAGAGGAGTCAGGGGCCACAGTGTTTTGGTTGTATAACATAATATACTTAAAGATAGATAAATCACAACTATAATTGTGTAAAACGGAAAACAACTACTGTCATTTACTTTTCTGTTTTTTTTAGTTTTATTTCACCATATTGTCACTTTATCTGTTCCTACTGTTCTGTAACCGGGGATGCAACACTGACATTTCCCCACTGTGGGATAAATAAAGGATCTCTTAATCTTAATTTTCCAACTACAACACGCTACTTTGCTCTAGTTCTCTGAGCCCTGGGGCTTCTATAGTGATGTGGCTAATGTGTGAACATTTACTGTGATTGGAGTCAGGTTGTTGTCAAAGTTTATGGACTTTTTATTTTGACTCCATCAAGATTGTTTATTGTCAAAATAGGCGGTGAACGAGTACTAGCTAATGGAAGCTAGCGGTTGAACACCGTATCATTAAATCGTATTGTGACCAGGTAAAAAAGTCGTCTATCTACTACAACATGAACATATGCAGCTTATACTCAAGTGCGGCTTATATGTGGACAACTTGGATTTTCACCATACAGTCCAGAAAGTATGGTATAATTATTATAAGTTATGTCTCTTTTATAAATACGTAACCAGTACCTCCAGTGCTCTGTTGCACAACCATCTTCACTGTCTTTCCTCATATCTCGTCTCTTTCACGGTGACTCTCTCATCCTTCACCCCCTGACAGTTATTTGAGACTCCGGTTCTTTACTCCGAAAGTGAGTGGAACAGCTCATCCTGGTACTTCCTGTTTCTGGAAGACTTGAGACGCCCGCTTCCTGTGCGTGTCACTGCCGTATCATTAGGAGACATCCACACTCCTGCCGTTGACAAAATGCGAGCGCGTAGCAGCCTTTAAACTGTCATCACCGATTGTGTGAAAGCGGGTTCAGAATAGAGACACGAGGGAGAGGTGTCACTGCGCCACAAAATCCCGAAATTCAAGTACAAATCCTGTCCAAGTTCATAAAATGTTCCAAATGACAAAGAGAAGAAAGTTTTTTGGGAACAAATCTGACACGTATTGTTATATGCAAGGGTTGGTAACCTGCCGAACAGCATATGAACTGCAGACAAGCTCACCCGTCTCTATTCTGTCATATTAGAAGTATATGGATTGTCTTATTGGAGTTTTCTCTGAATTTCTCAATTTTTGTAAAGCCCTAAATCAAAACAAGACTTTGCAGAGTGGTTGATTCGCCAACACGGAGAATCAAGCAGTTCAGGAAATGCAAAAATAATTAACACAGAGGAGCCATTGGTCTATAAGAGCGTGTGACCAATGTAATAAATGTCCATAAATGTCCACACATGTCCATAAATGTCCACAAATGTCCTTATACGTTAATAAATGCTCATACATGTTAATAAAGAACCTCCTGCATCGACAACAAAAGACTCAAAAACATGGCTGACTTTCTTCAGATTATTTTGCTCTTGTTAGCATCTGCTGTTTCCACTATGATGAGGACTCGGTCGACATTATAAATCAATTATTTCCAGTATATTTGCAGATTTTCTAATGCTTGAGTCTGCATACTTTGTAAAAATTAGCCAATCATAGCTTTTCTGCCAAGCCCTCTATCTTTTATTAAAACAGTGTTGCATCGTTCAGTCCCCTGTATCGAGATATGTAAAGTATCAGGCTCTGAATGACACCCAGCCCTCATGAGCAAAGAGCAACAACATCTTGGCTTCAACAAAATGTTCTTCAAACATTTCTGAAACGCTCTAAAACCAGCGTTTGCAAAGGGACAAGAGAAAACAACGAGATGGTCAAAAGTCACCTCAGGCTGTTGTTGAAAGTTATGAACGCATGCATGTGTTCTTAGACAGTAAGAATTTTTACACTGACGGCCTTATCCGCGCAGAGGCAGAGTCCAATGATAGAGTAAGACTAGAAGTGTCAACAAAGCAGTGAACTCTAATGTACACTATCTCAATCTGCTGTTTATCTCCACTACCTCTACTGCATATGTTCAGACAAACCTCCAGCTAAAGCATGATTGATTCATCTATGGATGGATTTGAAGATGGAAAAATGTTTAAATTGCTGTCAAAAATCAACTGTCAAAGGATAGATGTGGCTCCACTGTGGCTCTCCTACATTCAGGTAATTGGGAGCGTTTTGCTGTCTAAGCAGTACACTCTAAAACCAGAGCCCCACTTCTCACAGTTGGCATGATTAATCCCCTCATCACACAGACTGCTAAAGAAAGCTGTCAATCTCCCAAATTAGAAAAGTGAACTTTATTGAACAAACGATGCAGAAAGACGGATAGTTTAACACAACAGTTTGATGTAGAGTAGAGCGGGTGTTATTAGTACACTACTCGACGGACTGTAGACCGCTACTTTACTCTGGATACTGTGGCCTATACGGCGAGGCATGTGTTTTTATTCTGTTAGAGCTCCCCCTGGAGTGCAGGACGGGGATTAGGACACAGCGATCTCCAGAGCTGAGGACGTAAGCGCACATTCCTGCTGCAGAATGTTTATGTGAATAGTGGAGGACCATGAGGAAATTCACTGGGTATGCTTTTATGTGACCAGGGCTGTTTCCAGAGCAGAGTTTGTGGATGTGTTATTCTGACTGCATCAAGTTTAAGTAATTTGACTATAAAAATATATTGGATTTACCAGAGTGCTTTGATTATCGTCATTAAAGATTCATAAAGATTTTGTACTGCTTGATTCAACTTTGTATTCTTCTATCAGCTGGTGTACATAACAACACAGAAACCCGCAGCTTATAATGAGGCTAAAGCGGAAGTTCAGACTGGTAGACAGGTAGAACGTAGCTCACAGCGCTCAGAGACCTCCCACCGTTGCTTCACATAAACAGCATCTGTCAATCACACTCATCTAAAGGATCACACACCAATCCTCACCTGGCAGCAATCAAGTACTGCACTGCATCAAGCTTCATATCTCCATCCAAGCAGCAGCCTCATTCACGCCGCAACCCTCCTCCTCCCCAACTTCGCATCGTTCCAGGCCAAATCTTCCATCCTTGTCAGAGCTACCACCACCGGAGTCTAGGCCTCGGGGGGATTTAGTCTCATAATCTCTTTCCCCCACATTTCTGTACAGCAGCAATAAATGTAGTCTTGAAAATATTGCCCTCTTATATCGTATGTGTCAGATTTGTAGAATACAATTCTAATAATCGCCATGTTTTGTCTGTTCAAGTCTCCCCAGATTGAAACAAAATGCAGTCTCTATGTGGACATAACGTACTTATTGTGAAAATGGTTAATATACCAATACGTTTCATTGTTCAGTAAGTACTGTACTTTGTTTCATATAAAAGTTAGAATAAGTAACTTTCACCTTCATGGTTATGTGGAACATTATAACCAAATTCGTGACTTTTTTAAAGCAGCACTTTCTGATGGGAAGGTTGAAGGTCAGAATAATACAAATTTTGAAACTTTTTTGAAAAGTATTATGGACTGGTGTCAACTTTAGGCATTTTATATAGAAACCGTTTAAAGTTCTTGTAATCTTTTAGTTCTAATTCACATTTACATTTAAAATTTCACATGTAATAGGACTCAGAAAACAGTTCTTTTTGGTTGCCACTGTCAAACCAGGACTGACTTTCTTACTTAACTTGTTTTTTATATAATGTATATATACTTTTTATTGCCCAGTAGTGCCGAAAAAAGATCACACAAACCAGTACCAGTAAGAGGAATGACCTGGGTCTTGTTGGAGTATGAGTAATCTGGTGTGATGGGGAGGGAGGGGGGATGCAAAGTAGGTCCAAACAAAACATTTGAATAAGTAAGTATGTTATTTTAAAGTTTAGTTAGAAAGTTACGGTTGCAAATGTATGGCTAAAAACGTCCTTAAGTTCGGCCAAAATGGGAATACCTGACACTGAAATGTTCCTACAGTACAAAGATGTCTTAAAGGTCTTTTCAAAGTTAGCTGGATGAAACATAAACAAATGATTCTCAATTATAATTAGTGAACTGACTGTGTCCAGGAAAAATCTCTTTACAAAATCTGTCCAGTAAAATTCCCGACCTTTTTCCACACTAGTTTATTGTGTTATAACTCTAAATACTCCACACTGCTTATATTTAATCTATAGTTCATCACTTTAAGCCATTAGTGTGGACACAACCAAAGAGTTCAATCAGATTAAATAGAAACTGGGGAGTAAGGGGAACTTTTTAGTGTGGAACATAGCAAAAATCACCGCAGACACTTACTTTTCAAGCAGATATTGTAGACGTTTAACTTAAATACAGATTTATTTACATACAACAGGACAAAATGTAATATTGCCGTCTGAAAATGTTCTCCCCCAGTCCTGCACATACTGGCTGTTATACAACATTAGTGACTGGGAGGAGAGTGTTGCTCTAAGCCAGAGGAAGGGTGTGCGAGTGTAAAATAACACCAAAATGTACACCAAAGGAAGAGAGGCAGGGAAGGGGAGAGTGGGAGAGGGTAGAGGGAGAGAGGGGGAAAGGGGGACTGGGAGAGGGTGCGAGAGAAGGGGGGAGAGAGACAGGGTGAGGGGAACACTGAGAGGGAGAGACTGGTAGGGGTACACTATATTGGGAAAGGGAGAAAAGGAGAGAGAGGGAGGGAGAGAGGAAGAGAAGGGGTGAGAGACGGGGAGAGGGGAAGAGTGAGGGGGATATACTGGGAGAGGGAGAAAATGGGGGAGAGAGAGGTAGAAGGAGAAACTGGGAGAGAGGGAAAGGAAAGAGAGAGAGGAGAAACTGGGAAAGGGTGAGAAGGGGAGAGAGAGAGAATGAGAGGGGAAGACTGAGAGGGATACACTGAGAGGGGGGAAAAGGGGGAGAGAGGGAGAAGGGAAGAGCGATAGAAGGAGAAACTGGGAAAGAGAGAGAAGGGGAGAGAGGGAGGAGAGATTGGGAGAGGGAGAGAAGGGGGTAAGAGAGAATTAGAGAGGGAGTGATGGGGAAAAGGAGAGAGTGATAGAAGGGGAGATGGAGTGATGGGGAGGAGGGGAGAGGTGGCCGGGCGGCTGCTCCAGAAATCTGTCAAGGTATTTCCTTCTGAAAACACTGCGTTTGTAACAGAGAAACAAGAGCAGGGCAGATGCAGACCGACACAGGCCAACTCCAACTCCAACTCCAACTCCAACTATAACTCCAACTCCAACTCCAACTCCAACTCCAACTCCAACTATAACTCCAACTCCAACTCCAACTATAACTCCTACTCCAACTATAACTCCAACTCCAACTCCGACTATAACTCCTACTCCAACTATAACTCCTACTCCAACTATAACTCCAACTCCAACTATAACTCCAACTCCAACTATGACTCCAACTATAACTCCAACTATAACTCCAACTCCAACTCCGACTATAACTCCAACTCCAACTCCAACTCCGACTATAACTCCAACTCCAACTATAACTCCGACTATATCTCCAACTCCAACTATATCTCCAACTCCAACTCCAACTATAACTCCTACTCCAACTATAACTCCTACTCCAACTATAACTCCAACTCCAACTCCAACTATAACTCCAACTCCAACTATAACTCCAACTCCAACTCCAACTATAACTCCAACTCCAACTATAACTCCAACTCCAACTATAACTCCAACTCCAACTATAACTCCAACTCCAACTATAACTCCAACTTCAACTCCAACTCCAACTATAACTCCAACTATAACTCCAACTATAACTCCAACTATATCTCCAACTCCAACTATAACTCCAACTCCAACTCCAACTATAACTCCAACTCCAACTATAACTCCAACTCCAACTCCGACTATAACTCCTACTCCAACTATAACTCCTACTCCAACTATAACTCCAACTCCAACTCCAACTATAACTCCAACTCCAACTATAACTCCAACTCCAACTATAACTCCAACTCCAACTATAACTCCAACTCCAACTATAACTCCAACTTCAACTCCAACTCCAACTATAACTCCAACTATAACTCCAACTATAACTCCAACTATATCTCCAACTCCAACTATAACTCCAACTCCAACTCCAACTATAACTCCAACTCCAACTCCGACTATAACTCCAACTCCAACTATAACTCCAACTATATCTCCAACTCCAACTATAACTCCAACTCCAACTCCGACTATAACTCCAACTCCTACTATAACTCCAACTCCAACTTTAACTCCAACTCCAACTATAACTCCTACTCCAACTATAACTCCAACTCCAACTCCAACTATAACTCCAACTCCAACTATGACTCCAACTATAACTCCAACTATAACTCCAACTCCAACTCCGACTATAACTCCAACTCCAACTCCAACTCCGACTATAACTCCAACTCCAACTATAACTCCGACTATATCTCCAACTCCAACTATATCTCCAACTCCAACTCCAACTATAACTCCTACTCCAACTATAACTCCAACTCCAACTCCAACTCCGACTATAACTCCTACTCCAACTATAACTCCTACTCCAACTATAACTCCAACTCCAACTCCAACTATAACTCCAACTCCAACTATAACTCCAACTCCAACTATAACTCCAACTCCAACTCCAACTATAACTCCAACTTCAACTCCAACTCCAACTATAACTCCAACTATAACTCCAACTATAACTCCAACTATATCTCCAACTCCAACTATAACTCCAACTCCAACTCCAACTATAACTCCAACTCCAACTATAACTCCAACTCCAACTCCGACTATAACTCCAACTCCAACTATAACTCCAACTATATCTCCAACTCCAACTATAACTCCAACTCCAACTCCGACTATAACTCCAACTCCTACTATAACTCCAACTCCAACTTTAACTCCAACTCCAACTATAACTCCTACTCCAACTATAACTCCAACTCCAACTCCAACTATAACTCCAACTCCAACTATGACTCCAACTATAACTCCAACTATAACTCCAACTCCAACTCCGACTATAACTCCAACTCCAACTCCAACTCCGACTATAACTCCAACTCCAACTATAACTCCGACTATATCTCCAACTCCAACTATATCTCCAACTCCAACTCCAACTATAACTCCTACTCCAACTATAACTCCAACTCCAACTCCAACTCCGACTATAACTCCTACTCCACCTATAACTCCTACTCCAACTATAACTCCAACTCCAACTCCAACTATAACTCCAACTCCAACTATAACTCCAACTCCAACTATAACTCCAACTCCAACTCCAACTATAACTCCAACTTCAACTCCAACTCCAACTATAATTCCAACTATAACTCCAACTATAACTCCAACTATATCTCCAACTCCAACTATAACTCCAACTCCAACTCCAACTATAACTCCAACTCCAACTATAACTCCAACTCCAACTCCGACTATAACTCCAACTCCAACTATAACTCCAACTATATCTCCAACTCCAACTATAACTCCAACTCCAACTCCGACTATAACTCCAACTCCTACTATAACTCCAACTCCAACTTTAACTCCAACTCCGACTATAACTCCAACTCCAACTATAACTCCAACTCCAACTATAAGTCCAACTCCAACTATCACTCGAACTCCAACTATAACTCCAACTCCGCCTCCAACTATAAGTCCAACTCCAACTATCACTCCAACTCCAACTATAACTCCAACTCCAACTCCAATTATAACTCCAACTCCAACTCCGACTATAACTCCAACTCCAACTATAACTCCAACTCCAACTATAACTCCAACTCCAACTCCGACTATAACTCCAACTCCGACTATAACTCCAACTCCAACTATATCTCCAACTCCAACTATAACTCCAACTCCAACTCCAACTATAACTCCAACTCCAACTATAACTCCGACTATAACTCCAACTCCAACTATAACTCCAACTCCAACTATAACTCCAACTCCGACTATAACTCCAACTCCAACTATAACTCCAACTCCAACTATAACTATAACTATAACTATAACTATACAGTAACTATAACTCCAACTCCAACTATAACTCCAACTATAACTCCAACTCCAACTATAACTCCAACTCCAACTATGACTCCAACTCCAACTATAACTCCAACTCCAACTATAACTCCAACTCCGACTATAACTCCAACTCCAACTCCAACTCCAACTCCAACTATAACTCCTACTCCAACTATAACTCCAACTCCAACTCCGACTATAACTCCAACTCCAACTATAACTCCAACTCCAACTCCGACTCCAACTATAACTCCAACTATAACTCCGACTATAACTCCGACTATAACTCCGACTATAACTCCAACTCCAACTCCAACTCCGACTATAACTCCAACTCCAACTATAACTCCGACTATATCTCCAACTCCAACTATATCTCCAACTCCAACTCCAACTATAAGTCCTACTCCAACTATAACTCCAACTCCAACTCCAACTCCGACTATAACTCCTACTCCAACTATAACTCCTACTCCAACTATAACTCCAACTCCAACTCCAACTATAACTCCAACTCCAACTATAACTCCAACTCCAACTATAACTCCAACTCCAACTATAACTCCAACTCCAACTCCAACTATAACTCCAACTTCAACTCCAACTCTACTATAACTCCAACTATAACTCCAACTATAACTCCAACTATAACTCCAACTCCAACTCCGACTATAACTCCAACTCCAACTCCGACTATAACTCCAACTCCAACTATATCTCCAACTCCAACTATAACTCCAACTCCAACTCCGACTATAACTCCAACTCCAACTATAACTCCAACTCCAACTCCGACTATAACTCCAACTCCAACTATAACTCCAACTCCAACTCCGACTATAACTCCAACTCCAACTATAACTCCAACTCTAACTATATCTCCAACTCCAACTATAACTCCAACTCCAACTCCGACTATAACTCCAACTCCTACTATAACTCCAACTCCAACTTTAACTCCAACTCCGACTATAACTCCAACTCCAACTATAACTCCAACTCCAACTATAACTCCAACTCCGCCTCCAACTATAAGTCCAACTCCAACTATCACTCCAACTCCAACTATAACTCCAACTCCAACTCCGACTATAACTCCAACTCCAACTATAACTCCAACTCCAACTATAACTCCAACTCCAACTCCGACTATAACTCCAACTCCGACTATAACTCCAACTCCAACTATATCTCCAACTCCAACTATAACTCCAACTCCAACTCCGACTATAACTCCAACTCCAACTATAACTCCAACTCCAACTATAACTCCAACTATAACTCCAACTCCAACTCCGACTATAACTTGAACTCCAACTCCGACTATAACTCCAACTCCAACTATAACTCCAACTCCAACTATAAGTCCAACTCCAACTATCACTCCAACTCCAACTTTAACTCCAACTCCGACTATAACTCCAACTCCGACTATAACTCCAACTCCAACTATAACTCCAACTATAACTCCAACTCCGACTATAACTCCAACTCCAACTATAACTCCAACTTCAACTCCAACTATAACTCCAACAACTCCAACTATAACTCCAACTCCGACTATAACTCCAACTCCAACTATAATTCCAACTCCAACTATAACTCCGACTATAACTCCAACTCCAACTATAACTCCGACTATAACTCCAACTCCAACTATAACTCCAACTCCAACTATAACTCCAACTCCAACTATGACTCCGACTATAACTCCAACTCCAACTCCAACTATAACTCCAACTCCAACTTTAACTCCAACTCCGACTATAACTCCAACTCCAACTATAACTCCAACTCCAACTATAACTATAACTATAACTATAACTATACAGTAACTATAACTCCAACTCCAGCTATAACTCCAACTATAACTCCAACTCCAACTATGACTCCAACTCCAACTATAACTCCAACTCCAACTATAACTATAACTATAACTATACAGTAACTATAACTCCAACTCCAACTATAACCAACTCCAACTATAACTCCAACTCCAACTATAACTCCAACTCCAACTATAACTCCAACTCCAACTCCGACTATAACTCCAACTCCAACTCCAACTATAACTCCAACTCCAACTCCAACTCCAACTATAACTCCTACTCCAACTATAACTCCAACTCCAACTCCAACTCCGACTATAACTCCAACTCCAACTCCAACTATAACTCCAACTCCAACTCCGACTCCAACTATAACTCCAACTATAACTCCGACTATAACTCCGACTATAACTCCAACTCCAACTCCGACTATAACTCCAACTCCAACTATAACTCCGACTATATCTCCAACTCCAACTATATCTCCAACTCCAACTCCAACTATAACTCCTACTCCAACTATAACTCCAACTCCAACTCCAACTCCGACTATAACTCCTACTCCAACTATAACTCCTACTCCAACTATAACTCCAACTCCAACTCCAACTATAACTCCAACTCCAACTATAACTCCAACTCCAACTATAACTCCAACTCCAACTCCAACTATAACTCCAACTTCAACTCCAACTCCAACTATAACTCCAACTATAACTCCAACTATAACTCCAACTATAACTCCGACTATAACTCCAACTCCAACTATATCTCCAACTCCAACTATAACTCCAACTCCAACTCCGACTATAACTCCAACTCCAACTATAACTCCAACTCCAACTCCGACTATAACTCCAACTCCAACTATAACTCCAACTCCAACTATATCTCCAACTCCAACTATAACTTCAACTCCGACTATAACTCCAACTCCTACTATAACTCCAACTCCAACTTTAACTCCAACTCCGACTATAACTCCAACTCCAACTATAACTCCAACTCCAACTATAAGTCCAACTCCAACTATCACTCCAACTCCAACTATAACTCCAACTCCGCCTCCAACTATAAGTCCAACTCCAACTATCACTCCAACTCCAACTATAACTCCAACTATAACTCCAACTCCAACTATAACTCCAACTCCAACTCCAACTCCGACTATAACTCCAACTCCAACTATAACTCCAACTCCAACTATAACTCCAACTCCGACTATAACTCCAACTCCGACTATAACTCCAACTCCAACTATATCTCCAACTCCAACTATAACTCCAACTCCAACTCCGACTATAACTCCAACTCCAACTATAACTCCAACTCCAACTATAACTCCAACTCCAACTCCGACTATAACTCCAACTCCAACTCCGACTATAACTCCAACTCCAACTATAAGTCCAACTCCAACTATCACTCCAACTCCAACTTTAACTCCAACTCCGACTATAACTCCAACTCCGACTATAACTCCAACTCCAACTCCAACTATAACTCCAACTCCGACTATAACTCCAACTCCAACTATAACTCCAACTTCAACTCCAACTATAACTCCAACAACTCCAACTATAACTCCAACTCCGACTATAACTCCAACTCCAACTATAATTCCAACTCCAACTATAACTCCGACTATAACTCCAACTCCAACTATAACTCCGACTATAACTCCAACTCCAACTATAACTCCAACTCCGACTATAACTCCAACTCCAACTATAACTCCAACTCCAACTATAACTATAACTATACAGTAACTATAACTCCAACTCCAACTATAACTCCAACTATAACTCCAACTCCAACTCCAACTATAACTCCAACTCCAACTATGACTCCAACTCCAACTATAACTCCAACTCTAACTATAACTATAACTATAACTATACAGTAACTATAACTCCAACTCCAACTATAACTCCAACTCCAACTATAACTCCAACTCCAACTATAACTCCAACTCCAACTATAACTCCAACTCCAACTCCGACTATAACTCCAACTCCGACTATAACTCCAACTCCAACTATAACTCCAACTCCAACTATAACTCCGACTATAACTCCAACTCCAACTCCAACTATAACTCCAACTCCAACTATAACTCCAACTCCGACTATAACTCCAACTCCAAGTCCAACTCCAACTCCAAATCCAACTCCGACTATAACTCCAACTCCAACTATGACTCCAACTCCAACTCCAAATCCAACTCCAAACTCCAACTCTAAGAATAAAGCGAGAACTAGCTATTGCCTATGGTGTGGTTCTTGTTCATGTAGCTACTGTATGTATTATTGAAAGCTGAGATGCTAAAGGGGAAAAAAAGCTAAATTAATTTTTGGTCTGCGCAAAGTGGAGGGGGTGCCAAAAGAACCACCACACCTAACAACATGCAGATACACACGAGGAAGCCAAGGAACAGCGAAGTAGAGAGGCCAGATACAGTAGTGCTGTTGGGGTAGCTAACTGGATTGGCTTCATGAATAACTCCTCAACAGAAAGAGTTTTGTAAAAGTAAAAATGTTGATAAAAACTCAGACCACAACATGCTGTCTTTGTAAAAATCATGTTATCTTTAACATTTGTAAAAACAGATCCCTGTGAGTCACTATTTGATGCTACAGGCTGAGAGCTGATTGGCTGAGTGAGGGTGGTGCTCTCATTTTCGCTTGAAAGCCGATCCATAAATGTATCAGAGGCCTGTTGTTGAAAACTGTATTGAAAATGAGTAACTCGTCAGATGGATTTGAATACTTTGTCCATTTGTTTGTGGTTTGAAAGTCAGGTACCCCAGCTTTAGGAAAGACCATTTTGTTGTTCCTTACATTTAGATTGCGTCCCGTATGTATATTCTTGGCACACACTTCTTTGTAATTCTGTTGACACACCTCCTTCACATCCTGCTGTTCGTCTGAGTGGTGACATCAACTATAAACTGTGTTATTGATGTGTGTGTATGTGAGAAATGGATCCCTGAATGACAATAACTTTGCCTAGTTTTTGTCCATATGTTGCATAACCGCATTATCGCATTCGCACAAATACATATTTCACTTATTTGCCCCCTGGGTTTCAGGGTCGTTCCTTGTTGATGCAGGACGGTCTAAGGACAATGATGATCCAGGACATACCGCTCCCTATGGACCAATGTGCTCCTGTGTGTTTGTGACTATTGCATTTCTGAGTTTGAACTGATTCTCTGATTTGTTGTTGGCATATCGACAACTTTGTAAAGTCCTTCAAAGCAACTGCTGTTGTGTTTTAGGCCTACACAAAAACACATTGAATTAAATTATCACAATATAAGTAAGGTAAAGCAAAGGTTGAACTTGATCCACTTTTTCTTGCTCATACTTGTTTTTTCCATAAACCTTTTGGCTTCACTGTCCACATTTTTTGATTTATTTACGAGATCTTTTGACTTCCATTTTGTTTGAAATTATCTCCACAGCTGTCCATAACCGCTCAGGAGTGCACAGGCTTAATGAGGCATCCAACTCCCCACTCAGGCGCTACAAAATTCACCATCCTCCTCACTTGCTAAACAACATCCCACACAAAAACACACACACACACACACACACACACACACAGAACAGAAAGACAGACAGCCCCCATCCTTAAAGAGCTCCACAGTCCAACTTCGTACGGTCTCGATCTGCGTCTCACATATGGCGGCGTGCTTACATAAATATGTTGAACGCCCACGCTCTCGCCATGTCCCATTGCTCTCCTACCAGGCAGCTGTAATCCACCCCCTGTGTTTACATAGTCATAGTCGACTGAACCGAGGCGCGGCGAGACCGACTACGCATCGGGACCGAGCTGTCTGTCTAAAGGGGCTTTCCACACAGGAGCGGGCGAATACGACCAGAAACAAAACAACAACAGTGGGTACAGTGTGGTGCAGCAGCAAATGGGGGAAAAGTGAACAAACAGATATTTTGAGGTCATGCCACCGCTGTTAGAGACACAGTTAGAGTTAGTCTGTGTGTGTGTGTCTGTCTGTGTGTGTGTGTGTCTGTCTGTCTTCTGTCTATCTGTGTGTATGTGTGTGTGTGTCTATCTGTCCGTGTGTGTGTGTGTGTCTGTCTGTCTTCTGTCTATGTGTGTGTGTGTGTCTGTCTGTCTTCTGTCTATCTGTGTGTGTGTGTGTGTGTCTGTCTGTCTTCTGTCTATCTGTGTGTGTGTCTATCTGTCTGTGTGTGTGTGCGTGCGTCTGTCTGTCTTCTGTCTATCTGTGTGTGTGTGTGTGCGTGTGTCTGTCTGTCTTCTGTCTATCTGTGTGTGTGTGTGTGTCTATCTGTCCATGTGTGTGTGTGTGTGTCTGTCTGTCTTCTGTGTGTGTGTGTGTGTGTGTGTCTGTTGTCTATCTGTCTGTCTGTGTGTATGTACAGTATGTATGCTATGTATTTATTTTTATTTCAAAACTTGCACAAAACAAGATACAGATATCAATGATCAAATGAAAAACATGTCACAAGTTTTGAAAAGGGGGTTGGGTGAAGCAGACGCTTATACATTTCCAACCCCCTCTCACACTTTCAGAAAAACAGCAAATACAAATGACACTAACACTGTACAGTTACTACATCATTTCATCAAATTAAAAAAACAAGACACACAGAGACAAGACGCACACTCATTCTCTCACTCACACAGACACTGGCCCAAACACTCCCTGACCACACACCTCTCTCCCACCGCTCTGTCCAGGCCCAGGGCATCACTCTCTGTCCTCCATATATGTCTTCAATATGTCTCTTTTAAATTTCTTTTTAAATGCAGTCATAGTTGAGCATGTTTTTAATTATTCTTTTAATCCATTCCAAATGTGTGTGTGTGTGCGTCTGTCTATGTGTGTGTGTGTGTGTGGGTGTGTGCCACGTTGCCATAGATACCCTAAGGCTTCTTGTTTTTGTATTGTACTACATACAACTGTTTATTTCACTAGAATATACAGTATTACAGTAGAGATTTAATACTTTCTTGAAAAAAAACACTTTTTCCTTCATCCAATTCCATTTCAAACCTTGTACAGGTGTTTTTTTTCTGTGAATAACTGCTTGTGTATCTTGTGCTTGAACTTATTAAATAAATACATCTATGGAAAAATGATATATTCACGTTCCAAAGGTTCAGAAGGCAAGCAACCTCCAGGAATCAAAAATGATTAACTTGTAACTTAAAGCTGAGGTACCTAACTTTCAAACCACACAAAAATGTAACCATCTCTTCTTTTTTCTTTTCTTTTTTTACAGCTGATTTTAAAGTCATTCACAAGGATAGAAATTCAGACAACCAAGATCTATGGGGATAGCTCTACATACATTCATGTTTCTTATTAGTTATGGTCTAGGCTTAAAGGAGTTCCATAAAAATTCAATTTATTTTTGTCTAGCCCTAAATCTTGGACGACTGTACAAAACCGTTGAATTCGCCAACACAGATCAGAGTCCTGGATCATCACCACTGTCCTTTCACTTTGGCAATACATTTTAACTGAGATGACGAGTGTGATAAGAAAGATATGATAAAATAATAATAATGTATTTTTTTTTTTTTTAAAAGGTAATTCTCAACCCACAGCACCGATCTCGGATTAGACATTTGAAATAAGAGGGTTTGTGTGTTTTGACTTGCGGTTGTGGACTCGCAGCTGGAGCTCACACTGGGACGTGGTATGTTTCTGACAAATGTGCTCCGACATCATTGTTATTATGATTATTATGAAATCTGCCATCTCCCATAGACATGCTCTGTATTTGTGGAGTGGGCGGCTTCAGACTGAAACGCCAGTCTTAACCAGTTTGGGGGAAATTATAGGTGGATCTGGGATTGAGAGCTTGTGCCCTCTTGCCCTGGATGAGATTTAGACGATGTGTCCAATGTCTAGACAAAAGGATCTAATTCTTATTTATATACAGTTTTTTTGCAAAGTGAATGTTGGCGTTTCTCTATATCAAATCCGCCAATGAGATTATACAACTGGACAAGTTTTGTGGCCTTGCTTGCATACCGAAGTCAGATCCCATCAGACCTCATGAGCTAAGCAGGGCAAGTCCTGGTTAGTACTGTGATGGGAGACCTCTGGGAACATCAGGTGCCACAGTGGGGTGGCTGTAGCTGTTTAGTGTGAACTGTTTTTGTGTCCTTAGGCAAGACACTTCACCCACATTGCCTGGAACGCGTCTGGTGTGTGTGAATGGCTGGTGGTGGTCGGAGGGGCCGATGGCACATATTGGTTTCCTCGCTGACGTGAAGCGCCTTTGAGTGTCCTGAAAAGCGCTATAAAAAACGAATACATTATTGTTTGAATCCTTTGTGTGATTTTAAAGTTTATCTATTACCTTTGTGGTTTTAACTGTTTAATGGTGATGTTGGTGTTTATGTTTTATGTGATGATTTGTGCCTTGTGTGATATGGACTGTCAAGTGCTTTGTGTTGCCCTGTGTTGGAAAGGCGCTCAACAAATAAAGATTGATTGAGTGATTCTTCTTTATAGAGTATTTTTGCTCCATTTTTTTACGGAATTTTCATGTTTCTCCATATCAAATCAGCCGTCGACATTATTTTTGGCTTATAGACCGTATTCCGCCTGACAAAGACCTGTATTTCAGACATTCTTGAGTTGGTTGTTCAAGGTTTTTGCAAGGAATGTGTTTTTACAGGCTTGGGTTTAAAATTGGAGCAAACCTCTTCACCTGTTTCTATCCCTCCTTCACACAGAAGTCCAGTTCGTGGGAACATTGGGGAGATATGTTCAGAGAGAAGATTAAGAAAAAAAATAATGGTGGAGCCTTGACTTTTCTCATAGGTCAACAAACGGTATTTAATCCTGTAAACATGATGGCTAGGACTAAGGCATGTACTGTATATTGGTATTGGAAATTGGAGATTTTAGACCATCCATCCATCCATCTACTTTCTTCCCCTTAATCCATTTCTGGGTCAGGGGGTGGCAGTCAGAGCTGCACCAAGTACACAGAGCACCAGCCCCTCACTGATCCTCCTGCAGGTGGTGAGTCCACAGGAGCCTTGATCTTTCAGTGGGAGCTTCAGGCAAAGTGGGGTTAAGTGTCTTGTAGCAGTAGATTTAACTTTTCACTCGTACTCCAAGAGCAGGTTGTTGAAAAACAGTAAAAACAAAAGGAGAAGGTTACATGATCGTACCGTAAATACAGTATTAGACAGAGGGAATGCAACACAAACAGATAAAAACATATTC